AGATTTTTTTAGTTTTTATAAGTAACACGTCACTAATTGTAAGACATAATTATTACAAATTTTTGCAAATTGTTTTTATCACACATACGCCCCTTGAGGTGCCTTTGTTTATTACGGCACTGAGCGATGAGCTACCTAAATACCTGATTACTTTAAATTTAAATTCAGTTATATGAAAGTTGCCTCACAAGTGTTATCTGATCATAATATTTACAAAAAAAGACAAAAATCATTAATATGATCTGCATTTTTATTTTGATAATCTTTTTTATTCTAATTTATTATTATTCGATAAATAATTTCGACATATGGGAAAAAAAAAACATAATAATAATAATGGATTGTGGAGAGACATTTTTTAAACCTGTCTTCAGTAGAGATAAGAGCTACCCAACATATCAGGAAGGGGTACCGTTGGACGCAATCGACCGAAGAAAAGTCAGAAGCAAGTATATCATTTAAATGACCAAGGCAAACGTTTCAAAAAATTAACCGAAAAATTGATTTTTGAAAACAAGTTAAGTATAAAATTCTCGATCAGGATCGTTCATTTATTCCTGCCAACCAGAGATGGCCACCTCGGTGGTAAGTACATCAGCACCGCGCGGCTCTGCTGGCAACCCAGTACAGATAGCTCACGATATTATATATATATATATATATATATATATATATATATTTGCAACCCAAGCCGCGGTACATATACTTATACACACGAATACACAATAACACGCGCGCATGGATCGATAAGCGAGCGTATGATGCAGGGTGGCTACAACAGTGCAAGCCGTCTTGTAACAAGTGTTTGTATGTGCCGTACCGGTGCCGTCAAATTAATCGTATCGAAGAAAAACGTGGCTGGCGTGCCGCGATAATACAACGCTTCTATCATGCTCCCCCGTGTGCTCGTTTGACCGTCTTTGCTTTACACCATACATCCCTCATTCCCATGCAACGAACGCGGAGAGTACTTTCGATCGAGTAGCTTCATCGAGCTTCATCCCGATAGTTTTGGCTGCTTCTTTGGTTGCGGAAGTGATAGTAGTGGTGCCATTGTTGTGTATAGTGTGGGAGCCACGCATGCACTGCGCTCGCGGCGAATTAATCTCAAGAGAAGGTACAAGCTGCTACTCCCGGTGTGGGTGAACGGGCGTATGTGTGTGCGCGCAAGCGTGGGCTCGTGTTGTGGACACACGGGGGATTTTAAATTTGTGCGCTGGATTGTCACGTAGACTCATTTTTTGAGATCTATTTTGCCACACTGTCTAGCTGAGTTTCAAAAGGTACCTATGCAGTCAATGTAACGTATTAATGTAACACATTTTTTCTTTTTTTTCCTCAAAGTTTAACAAGGTGTTGTTGTGGCACTGCAAACTAAAATGTTATAACGTACCACACGGAAGAGAAATTGATTAAAACATTCGCTGCAGATAATAATTTAATAGCCACTATCTACTTCTTTTTTGCAATAATTTAACATTTAAAAATTCATACTGATGTTATTGCAGCCAACGAAAAATTTCATTAAAAAAAAAATTACATTAGAAGTAAATATTGGCTTTTGTTAATAGTTGAACACGTTCGAGAGCACGATATACGCCACGTAAATAATTTTGACCTGAATTTTGATTCAATTCAAGGCAATATCGTAGCACAAATAGTGTTACATGACGACAACGAAGTAAAATACGGCGATGTTTACTGAAATACTGTTTTCAAATTTTTTTTTTTTTATTAATTATTTAATTTTTTTCACTATACATCGCAACCATTCCATCTTATTTAATAATATTTAATTTTCTCTACATAAAAACATCAAATTATTCATTATGTATTTGAATATGAACAAATCTTGTTTTTAAAAATATTTTGATGATATAACTGTAATTTATTATGAAGAGATCGGTATTTCCTATTTTTTACCAAGGAAAAACAATTCTTCGTTTTAAAGTAGGAAAATTGAACTAGATATTACGTAAAATCTGTAAAATCGATGCAGAGAAGATTATGAAAGAGAGATGATTTCATAATAGAAAATAAGTAAGGCTGTTGAGACAGGGAAATATTAAAATTGGTTTTCTATTGAAATAATAAACAAAACCGAACAAAAAACTAACTTGGTTGTGAATGAATGGTAGGCAATAAAATTCTAAATTCTGTGGTTCAACTATTGGATTCGCAATCAAAAAATTTTCTTTACTCATCTAGTGTTATGTGAAAAAAATCACCGTTGCTTGTTTATTGCAGAAGTGAAAAAGATATAGTTGTTTTCGAATGAATAAATATTTAATCAATGTGATTTTTGTTAAAGTAATTCAATGTATAAGAAAATAAAGAAATTGTGCTAATTTATTTAAAGTTTGAGAAATATATGCAACAATGTATTTATACTTAGCTTTTTGGTATGCTACTCCAATACTTGTTATTAAAAAACAGTTGTATTAGTCTCAATTGTATGTGAATTATAGTTTTTTTTTCTTCTTCTGCAAAGATAAAGAGATGATTTAAAATATAAAAACTATGGTTTGGTTATAATTTCCATGTGTGCACAAAGTTCCGTGGGCATGGTAATTATAATTGATTGAACGAGTTACAGCTTATCTTGTGCTCAATAACTAATTGACTTAGATAACCTTTTGCCTGTTAAATTCTGATTTAAAAATATTTAACTTGATTTCATTACGAGCGATCCTTCAAAATGTTTAACTTGACTAGACAAAGATAAACGTTAAGACAGTTACGGAGTATGGCCATAAATAAAAAAATGACTGGATGTTGATAAAATTTGCTTGATCAAAAACTAGTCGGGTGCAGTGTGGAAACAAAGCCACCCACGGAATTCGAGATGAACAGAATCTCAAATTTACCAAATGTGGTCAAATTACGTGTATTTGTACGTTGATAGAAATGATCACTTGTAGAAAACGAATGATTAGCAATAACAAAAATTTGAGATTAACTAAATAATACAAGAAAGTTAGTTTTAATTTCATTTGGGTCAATTAAACATGCTAAAATCCACATCAATTTATAGTTAAAGAGCGGATTAAACTGCAAATGATTCTTTCTATTGGTGTACAAAACATACGTGAATAAATGCTGGCGGTATAGGTACTACTCAAAACTAAAAATAAAAAGCACACCTGTGGAGCAATAGTGCAAACAACTTTTTGAATAATAGAAGTGTAGCACTTGAAAAAAAAAACTTTTTATTTTACAGCCACGATGACACAAGAACAGAATGGCATTAAAGAAATGCAACAGACAGTGGACACGGTGTCGGTGCTGAAACCTGACGAGAGGCAGAGAAGCAGACTTGATGTCCTCGCATCGCACTTCAGGTCACGTTTTAATCGCGAGCCTTCGTTTTTCGTTCGAGTACCTGGCCGGTAAGGATTTTTTTTTTTTTTTTTTTTTTCCTCAACAAGTAAGTAGTACGTTTATTTGTTTGTGCGTGGATTTTTCAGCTTTAAAAGTACAATCATATAGTTATAGTAACACATTTTAGAGACAACTTTGTTTCTTGCTTATCCACTACGCGAGATAAGATAGCGCTTACATAATTCACTTTGTCACTTGTTTGCTGACTTTGCTGCGTCTCTTGTTAAGGATGAGAAAATTGTACGTTACATTTATAAAAAGCAAAAGTTTAAAGAATATCGCAGACTGCCTGAGTTGTAGTTTTTATTTACATATTTCAAAAGAATAAATAACGCGGGAAAAACTGGCTCTAAGAATAGAGACGTTGAATTTGTAAATTAGCATTTTGTCGTGTATTGTCAAAGTAAAAATTATTTATTTTCATACACAGACGTTGATGGTTACAGAAGAGTAAATGTTATTTTCTAATGTCTGTCAGTCTATTAAAAAAACGTAAAACTTAAAGATCATAAGTATAAAACTTTTGGTAATGTAACAATAGTTACTTTGTTATGAAAAAAATATTTTACCCGTTTTCTTATCCAAAAAAAAAAAAAAAAAAAAAATTGAATACACTAATAATTGTAAGGTGGTTCCGTTTAGTTATTTATGCACTTGATCTTTAATAATATTATCTCAATCGAAAATAGAAATAAACAAATTTTCAAGCATTTTATTAGTGATATCAACAAACTTTTTTTCGCGTTGCACGTACATACACAGGGTCAACCTGATAGGCGAACATATCGACTATTGCGGCTACTCGGTTTGCCCAATGGCGATCGAGCAGGACATCCTCGTGGCCGTATGCAAATCCGAAGACGATAATGCCCTCCAACTCACAAACGTCGACGACAAATACCAGGATTATCGGCACGACGCGCTTCAAGAAATAAGGTATGCATGTAACTTGTGAAACCGCCATTGACCAAGAGAATGTCTTTTCTTCACATTTTCACAATCATAGTTTATACAATACAATAACAGTTGTATTCTTAAATCAATATTATACACCGCATCTTAGCTGTATGGAAACGAATTTCCAATAAACTCGGTGCGCAATCTCAGTTTTCAATTTTAAAATCAAGCCCAAACTTTTAGCCGTATCTCTGTTGCCAACGGCCGAGCTTTCGTAAATTACCAGAGTGCGCGAGTCAACACGCGCAAAGAGAAACAAAATTGAAAATTCCAGCACACGGCTGCGCGCACAAATGAAGTAGCAAGCATTTACCAATTAAGAAAGCTCGTCTTGCCCTCGACTCGGATGTAGTCCGACCCCCCCCCCCCGTGTACTCTCCCACTTCCGCATTTGCGTGGAGACATTAATAAAGAGCAGCCGGCTTCTTTTTCCCATGCAACAGCAAAAAATCAGATCAAATGCTTTTTCCAACTGAGCGTAAAGTAAGAAGTTTCAAGCTACTTTCAATTTTCTAGCGTGGGGCACTTTTTTTAATAAAAAAAAAAAAAAACTTGTTCAAGCTCTCTCCTTACACTCCTTCTATTATACTCTGTAGCTGTTGGCTGGAAAAAATGAGGGAAACGAAAAGATTTTGAGCCTGAATTATTATGCAAACATCACACAAACGCGTTTGCCGCTTTTGTATCCAAGGTTGCAAAGAAAAAATCATCCCATGCATTCTTTTTATCATCCTTAATTAACAAAATACATTCCCAGATAACGGATCCCTTAAAACCCCTTTTTTTTCAATGACTTTGGGAGTAAGCACCAACATTATTTATTTCCAATTATTTCATTCAGTTCTTCGTTTTCTTCATAAACACCCAACATAAATATTTATTCTTTTCTCCGAAGGCGCACTCTTTAGTAAATACATAAGTAGAGCTTCAACCTCCACTGAAAGCATACCTATAAACTTTCTGGTGTCAGTCCAGCTTTTGCTTATTTTTTAACAAACTCGGCACCCTTTAAAAATTGCAAAAAATGAACGTCGATGTATATTATTCACTACATGATAGTTAATTGCGCTCGTTGTATACAAGGCGAAACAAAATAATGAACCAATTGGAGAGTAAGCTTTGCGCGCAAGTGACTTTTATGCTCGGCGTAAGTGCGCATCTGGCGCGAAGCAAACGGTAGATGATATTACACGGAAAATTTCGGCCCATTCAGAGATCTGCATCTAAACGAGGACGGTCTCGGGCCTACTTGGCACAAGTACTACCTGTGCGGCATCAAAGGCGCCCTGGAAGTCATCCCCGAGGAGAAGCAGCCCCGAGGGATCCTCGCGGCCGTCTGGGGTAACGTGCCTCCTAATGCGGGGCTCTCCAGCTCCAGCGCCCTCGTATCCGCAGCTCTGCTCGCTACGGTACACGCTAGCCAGGTAACTCTCGACATGCACACACTTTTTACACTCTACGAAAGATACAAAGAGGCGGATCAGGTGCGACAGCACAATTGTAAGTAAAAATAATACGAGCAAGAAAGAAAAAGCCTATCAGCTCGGGATGCCATTAATCAGGACAGGTGCGCGCGTCATATCGGACTCAAAGGGCGAACGAACGAGTTTCGATTACTCAGACGCGACGGTGCATCAATCTCTTTCGCGCAGCAAAGTTTTCTTCTTCTTCGAGGCAGAGGAGAGCCTATCCTGTATGGTCGAGCTCTCTAAATCGCACTATACATCACAGCTCGCGCTCAACGTAATTCTCGGCCGAGCGGAGAGAAAAAAAAAAAAAAAAAACAATTTGCGCTACGCAGCTGGTTATCGTGAGATATGAGATACCCTGGACTCGGTGAACTGCAATTTGTACGGGGATGCTCGAGAATCGTAAAGTAGGAGCTTCTAACTAGTACTCGAGTTATCTCGTCCGCATGTTGTAATGTAATGCGCAAAAGTTTGGATGACCGAGCGCGTGGTGTAATGTACGTTATTTTTAGATGCCTTATTTAACGAATAAGCTAATTGTCTTTTGAAAAATAAATGCATTTTTTGACGAATACAGTATGAAATCCGTTTAACCATTGGACTTGTAAACCTATTGGTTATTCTCAAAGGAACGAGTTTTAATTAACAAATTTAATTACCGTGAGGTCGTTGCGAACGAATTATAACTAAACGCTAAACTTTGTTAAACTTCAAGGGGATCCGAACGATATCGATTCCAATACTTGGCCAATCGCTCAATCGGCTAATTACGAAACTCGGACGCGACGTTCTTCTGACTTGATTGGATAATTGCATACTGATTTGTCTGGTTCACTTGGTTAAATGGTCGAGAGATTTTGTACTTGAGATTTGAGTAAAATTACACAAGAGTACATGTATTAAACAATACAAGGAATAATTATACTTTTATCAAATTTGGATCAAATTTTGAAACTAATACTTGTAGGCAAGGCAATGCGGATATTGTTTTAACATTTTTATGGGCCATAGCATACCATGTCAAAAGAGGACATGGCTACAGTAAGTGCCAGAGCAGAGAGGTACATTGGAACTCAGGGAGGTGGAATGGACCAGGCAATTGCATTTCTTGGAAAAACTGGTTAGATTGTTTCTTTTGGTTTATAAAAAAATTTTTACTTTAAATGACCATTGGAAAATATTAAATTATAACGTAAAACAATGTACTATTGCACTGTACGTTGAATTTTATTTTATCAAAGAAATTTTTGAAGGATCGGCAAAATTGATCGAATTCAATCCATTGCGGAGCTACGACGTAAGCCTTCCAGAAGGCGCGGTTTTCGTTATTGCGCACAGTCTGGTTGACCACAACAAAGCCGCCACGTCGGATTACAACACAAGGGTCTTGGAGTGCCGACTTGCAGCTCAGGTATTACGGAACCTCAAAGAATACCATTTGTTATTTATCGGATCTGGCTTCATCTAAAAGAAATTTCAGTCGATTATTGGAATAAAAATAACGGATTAAAATCCTTTTATTACTATTTATTTTTTAAACGATCTTATAGAAACGGTAGATCGATCGTAATTTAAAAGTAATAAATGTCTATTCGTATTTTTTAAATTTCTTGCCATGAATATTGTTATTACTATTGAAAAACTAACAAAACATAAAATTTTTTTAAATATTTTAAACGAATTGTTTATTTTAAAACTAATATCAGTATGTCACATTACAATTTTATATTGCTTTTAAATTATATTTAATTCCAACCCAGATCATAGCTAAAAAAATGGGTATCGACTGGCATCAGGTGCAAAAGTTAATTGACGTACAAGAACTTTTGAAGAAAAATCTAGAGGACATGTCTACAATCGTAATGAAGGAACTTCACGAGGAACCGTATGATTGTGAAGAGGTACTTTGTTCATTGTACCACATGAGTTGATTAGTTATCAATAAAATCGGATTAAGCTTTAATTTTTCACTTCCTCAAAAAATAGATGGTTTGTCGCCTATTTAGCAAACCTAAAATTAAATTGGAAATATTTTTATTCACTCTGGCTTTTGTTATAATCAAAAAGAGAAATTATTACAATAAGTTTTTAGATGGGGTTTTTCAAAATTTTTTTGAGCAAAATAAAAGCCATAATAATAAAAAGCACTTTTTCAGCTGAACCTTCAACGATTGAAATGATCCAATATTATATTTTTAGATAAATCAAATACTGGAAACAACGCCAGAAGAATTAAAATCAATATCAAACGTAACATACGATCCTACACGAAGGCTAAAACTGAAACAAAGGGCTCTTCACGTTTTTCAAGGTAAATAACGAAAAACTGCTCTAACTGACAAAGTGTAATTTTAATGAACTATTTTTTATCAAATTTGAGTAACAAATTTACAAACACAACCTTTTTGGTACCATATCGCAATAATTTTTTGTGAACAAAACCGGAAGATCTCAAATTTGCCATCATAAGCCCCGGAATATATTAGAAATTTTTTGTTTACGTAGAAAAAAAATGTACCTAAAGGGCTCTTATTTTACGCGGTTTTGTCAAAAAAAAAAAGAAAATAACAGTATGCATTTCACACAGTTTTAAACATCATTTTAGAAAATAGTAAAATTTTGACTATCACATGATTAATTAAGAATCACTTACAAATAGTTTTAACGGTAAAATATTTTACTGACTACTCATGTATTTTACTAGAATTATTTCACAACGTGTTATGATAATAAATTTTGAAAGCACAATTTGAGAGTCAATAATTAATCAACTTATCGCAATTAAATTTTGATATTCCAACAGAAGCAGAAAGAGTCGCGGCTTTTCAGACGGTATGTCAACGTAAGGATATGGAAGAGCTAGCTAGAATGAGCCAATTAGGCCGCCTAATGTCCAGCAGCCACTCGAGTTTACAAAACCTTTATGAGTGCAGCCATCCGAGAATTGACGCGCTTGTGACAGCAGCTATTGATTCCGGAGCTTTGGGTGCTAGATTAACAGGAGCAGGGTATGTGTGTATAATTGTTGTCATTTGACTCCAATTTTATATTCATACAATAAATGAGGGATTGGTTTCGTTTCATTTACTAAGTAATAAATAATTTATGCAATCTCTTACGTAATTATTATGATGATTAAACTTTACCAAAAGTTTATCATTACCAATTGATAGTTTATAAATAATTTTCACAGCAAAGTAAGCGAAGCGTACATTTACGTGTGACTCAAAAACCCGAATCTCTATAGTAATCAGGGTTATGTCGATTTACTCAATTAATACATCAAAGTTAGAATCATACGTAACTTTAGTATCACATTTATGCAAGTAAATGCCGTCTGCTGAATTTATATAAATAAAACCAATTGTAGTATTTATGCATATTATATTTAATGAGACTCTACTTGGAATCGTTATGTCTAAAAATAATGAGTACTCAACGGAAAAAAAAAAAAATAATAATAATAATACTCAAACAAGATTCTTTTGAACTTCTGAATTTCTTCTGAAACTGAGTATCATGTTTGCATATGTTTTTACAAAAAAAATTTAAAAAGCGAGTTTTTTTCATTTAATTTTTTTAACCTTCTTAACATAAGAATTTAAAAACAATTTTGGAAACATGTTTAATGATAATCCATAAACTCACGCAATTATTTCTTTTACAAGATCCTCTGAATTGGTTAAAAAATATTCGTAGCCGTTCTTAAAGAAAATAAATTTACACAATTACAGCACTTTTGTTTATAGCATATCAAAAAAAACATAACTGTTGGAATAAAAAAATAAATTATTTAATATTTTTCTTTCTAATTCACAGTTGGGGTGGATGTATCATCGCAATTGTCTCAAATGAAAACGTCGAGGAGTTCGTCAATAGATTAAAAAAGGAATTCTACCAGAACGACGAGAGAGCTAACAGTCTAAATTTATCAAGTTATGTCTTTCAGACCGAACCTAAACAAGGAGCTGCTATTTATTGCTCTTTATGATAAAAGAAAAATGTGTTTATAATACAATAATGTAAGCAAAAATTTTTTAGAATTATGGTGGAAAAAAAAATGATTCATTACAAAATCTGTATGATGTAAATTACATAAATTATGTTAAATAAAAAATTTTTCCTCAGAAGAATTTTACTTTGAATTAACAAATAAAAAAAATATTATGGTTAAATCAATTAAGGTACAATATTCATACTTCCATGGGTGGATGTAGCTAAATAATCAAAATTCAAAGCTACACGATTTCTATGATTGCTTTTTTTGTTCATAATACTTTTAGTACAATATTGCATGGTCCAAGCTGACTGTCTATACTTTCGGTGCTTCGTCGTGCAATGTGACGTTATGGGTGAAAATTGGCAGTTTTAATATTACTTAGTCTTTTTATTTCAGTGGTGACTCGGTATAAATAAAAATAAAAATTTATAAAAATTTGGTTTGTAAAAATAATATGTCGGAGACTTAGATTTTGAAAAAATTAAATGAAAAGTCATTTCTAATTTTTGCATTTGTAGGTGTCATTATGCGAGTTCTAATATTTATTTTTAAGATATTTTACAATTTTTTGAGATTTTTTTAGTTTTTATAAGTAACACGTCACTAATTGTAAGACATAATTATTACAAATTTTTGCAAATTGTTTTTATCACACATACGCCCCTTGAGGTGCCTTTGTTTATTACGGCACTGAGCGATGAGCTACCTAAATACCTGATTACTTTAAATTTAAATTCAGTTATATGAAAGTTGCCTCACAAGTGTTATCTGATCATAATATTTACAAAAAAAGACAAAAATCATTAATATGATCTGCATTTTTATTTTGATAATCTTTTTTATTCTAATTTATTATTATTCGATAAATAATTTCGACATATGGGAAAAAAAAAACATAATGGGACCCAAACCAATTCCTCTCTTTGGCAACTTCAAGGATGTGATTCTCGGCAAAGTGCATATGGCAGATTTTATACAAGATATATATCATCAATTTGCGTCCGAACCAGTAGTAGGACTTTTTGCCAGCAACATTCCTATTCTATTGGTGAAAGATCCAGAAATCATACAAGTAAATTCGCATTAAATAAATCATTTTTTTTTTTTTTTTTTTTTTTGTATTTTCAACAAATTTTGAAGAAAATCAAATATATCAAGAACAAAAAAAGGGGGTAATGTAAAGCTCAGTTTATAAATTTTGTATAAATTTATTCCTGCTTCAGGAAGTTTTAGTAAAAGGTTTTTCAAACTTCAGTGATCGAGGTTTCACACATCATGGTGATGTCGATTCATTATCTCAGCACTTGTTGTATATGACAGTGGATAAATGGAAACCAATGAGACAAAAACTTTCTCCAGTTTTTACATCGACAAAATTAAAAGAGATGTTTTATTCAATATCCGCATGTGCTGATAATTTTTCTGCCTATACAAGAAATTTGGTTAAAAAAAATGAGATTGTTGATTGTTTTACACTTACCCGCAAGTATGCTATTGATGTAATAGGTATTTGTGCATTCGGACTTGAAACTAAAATACTGTCACAAGAAAAAACTGAGTTTGAACGCGTAAGTGAAATGATATTTGAAAATAGCGTGAAAAACACATTGAAGCGCCTTATTAGATTTTGTCCCAATTGGATTAAAAAATTAACGAAACCTGTCATTACAAATCACGAGGTAGTTAATTTTTTCATGTCCTTGATAGAAAAAAATATTGCATTCAGAAATACGAATAATTTACGGAGAAATGACCTTGTTGATATATTAATGGATATTAAAAATCATCCAGAAAAAATTGGAGAAAAAGGTAAGACACCACCATATTACGTTTATAATTCAAGTTCTGTTGAAAATTTTTATCTTTCATTTTTAGTACGTAAAATTAAAAATAACCGATGTTGTGACGAAATATCACCACATAATTGATTTAATTTTTAAACACGATATGTATGTACTGCAGCTGAACAAATATTTGTAACAAAGTATAATATTCGTAGCTTTTTCAACTGGAATTATTTGCCCTTCATGCCTTATGAGCCATACAAAAGCTTTGAATTAATATTATAATGCAGCAAGTAACATAAACATTATTTTTTAGAAGCGACATTGGCATTGTTGACTTCTCAAGCGTATGTATTTTTCGCTGCAGGATTTGATACTACATCTAGTACAATAACTCATGCACTGTATGAGGTGGCATTAAATCAAAACATACAAAATCAACTGAGAACTGAAATTTGTACAACTATACAGAAATACTCTGGAAATCTTAATTACGATGTAATCTATCACATGAAATATTTAGATCAAGTACTAAAAGGTAAAAAAATTTTTAAGAGTAAACAAAACATATAAGTTTTGTTCAAATTTGATAGTACTAAACTTTATTAGTACAAAAAAATGTTTGGTTTTAGAAACATTGAGAAAATATCCACCTGGATACTTTACTGGAAGAAGAGCAATAGATGATTATACATTTAAAAGGACTAAAATTACAGTTAGACGAGACATAAGAGTTTTAGTTCCGATTCATGCAATACATAATGATCCAAATAATTATCCCGAACCGGATAAATTTGATCCAGAAAGATTTACCGAGGAAGCGGAAAAAATGAGACATCCAATGACTTTTTTGCCATTTGGCGCTGGTCCACGATACTGTATTGGTAAATAAGTTTATTGAATTTTGAAAGATTTTTTAATAAATCCATTTTTTTTTAATTTTTAATAAGTTGTATAAACTAAAATAATACACTTATTTTTTAAACTATTTTTAGGAAAGAGATTTGCCTTTATCTCAACGAAAATAGCCATTGCAAGGATTATAAGTAGATTTAAATTTGAGGTTTGTGATAAAACGTGTATTCCTTACGAAAAAAGAATTGGGAAATTTCTTCTTTCCCCAAAAGGTGGACTATTTTTAAAAGTTACTGAATTACAATATGATCACCAAAGTAGCGTAAATATGTAATTCATAATATGTGGAATATACTGTAGCAATGTACGTACGAGTTTTAAAACTCTTATTAACCGTAGTTTAAGAAAACCAAAGTACACACTGAGGCATAAGTTTAAGAATAAATATAATTTTTTATGTTATAAAAATCTTCAAAAAGACATTAAAATCACCCAATGCTGAAATTCCAAAAGACCGAATGCTCTAAAAATGGATTCATCATTCACTACAGGTGGCTAGCGAGCATTCAGTTATCGCTTCACCGATCTAAACAAAGCTCCGTGAAAATGCTACGCTTCGTTATCACGCGTATCTTAAATGAGAAAAAGTCCTCTAGCAAAGCGCATCCCATATATCAACCACACACAGTAAACGCTGAAATAGCAAAAACGGAGGACGCAAGAAAAAAAAAAAAAAAAAGAAAAAAAAGTGGCACAGCGCAAAGGAAAAGCGGAAGCCGAACCCTCGGATTTTCTCCGCACGCTCAACGGCGCAGGCGTACGGAAACAGTGGCAAAACTCGCGCGCCGGCAGTAAAAGCTCAGTCGGCTCCTGAGCGCCCGCGAGCTTGCGTCGGTCGGGACGCTCACGTTTGCTCGTACACCCATGAGGGAACAACAATGCGTTTCACGGTGTTCGAGATAGAAACCGATATGCTACGGAGCTTTGTCACGATGGCTAGGATAACTAAGACAGATTGACCGTAACGATGTAAATCAGAACTTGTTGATTCGTACAGGATGAGGTTTCGGGAGAAAGTTGCACCAAGTGAAACACGTCCGCAAAGTTCAAACGTAATATGTTATTTCATAAATGTCACAATTACTCAACATCTCGATGCAACTAAATAAAATTTTTTCAAATCTCTATACTGTAACGTGCCTAAATAATTTGAAAGCGAGGTTTTTAATTTTTTTTTTTTTTTTTTTTTTTTCAAGTAAATCGGCAAATTTCTCTTGGAGTTCATGTATTTTTTCGAAAAGACCTCGGAATGAAATTTTTCAAGCTCACTCGCACAAACGCTTGACCGCGGTAGGAAAAAAAAAATTAGATACATCCTTCGATGTTTAAAAAATGACAAGTAAGAAGAGCTGTGCGTTCTAGCTAGTCGGCAGACGAAGAGCATGGCAATCATGCAGTCCTGTTGCTGTTGGCGGTCGGTTCGCCACGGCAGTTTTGCATGCGCTGTTTACTCAGTGGTAAGTGTTGGTGTTTTATTTAATCGAGTTTGTACTCGCATGATTTTACGCATGGTGTTATAAATAGCCGCTTGGAATGTAGCTTGTTGAAAAAAAAAAAAAAAACTCGAACTTGCATTTAACTAAACAGCAAAGTTCGGGGGGATTGGTTTAAAAATTTATCGCAGCGCGGAAGTTACACCTACTCCAGAAAGGCTGATCGCGAGAGTTCGATCGCGAACTTTCGAGTGGGTAAATAAGGGAAACGTCCCTGCGCTCTCACGTGCGTTTGCCGCTGTACTTTGCGAATTGTAAATGAACGGTTACCTTGCGCTTTATTTGCTTAACTGCTGCTTCCACATCCACGGACGAGCAGCGGCAAAACTTTTAGATTTTCAATTCTGCTTGATTTATAGCGTATAGCATGGGTTTGGTCGTGATTGGACAGTCTCTTTTTTTTTTTTAGTACTGTATACAATTATTACTCACGTACTAAAATTTTCTATACGCAAGAATGTATTTTCAGCATCGCACCTCTTTACTAAGCAAGTTTAATTGAATTGTTATATATGATGTATTACGTTTGTGAGTGATACATTTTCACTTTTTGTATCCATTTGTTTTAATTTTAAAATAATCATTATTAATGCTCTATGTTTGAAAGTATCTAAACTAGAAAAAAAAAAAAACACCTTTGATGTAACTCTAATTTTAAAATTTCAGAAAATCGTTGTTTTAATTTCACCTGTTTTTGTAAATAAGTTTTTGTCGTTAATATTTTACTAAAAAAATAAAATAAGTAAATAAATAAATGAAGCTCCTCAACTATAATTCTGTTTCGTGCGTGAATAAGAAAAAACTATAAAGAGAATTACGCTTTCCATTCTAGAGATACAAAAAAGGATAGATGAGTAACGTCAAAGTCATTAAAGCCGAAGTCAAAGGCATATGAATTCAATGTATACGCTTATAATCAAATTTCGTTGAAGATGTTCGCATAGAAAATAGAGCTTGCATATGAGGTACTTGTATAAATAATACTAACAGTTGTAAAGATAATTTAATCCACCCAAAAAAGTCAAGACAAGTGATAATATTTTAAAAACCAAAGTTATAAAACTACTTAACCACCCAAGTTTACGTTAAATCAAATTGCAACGTGCGTAGCTCTGAATGATCGACAGGATGTTTGCTTCAACAATTTAATAGCTGCAAAAACCACAATACCTACATAAAAAACAAACAATCAAACGTTATCAACTAATGTTGAAAATATAAAATCATTTATTAATTTTTTGTTTCATTTCGTTCCCATGTTTTCCCAACGACTTCCCATTTTCACTGCACGACGGACCACGAATACCAAATAAACACCAGTTATACTAAGCTTTAACAGAGTCTAAGAAAAAAAAAAAAAAAAAAAAAAAAAAAAAACACCCATTGCAACTTCATCAGATGAAAAATCATCTTTCAAGAAAAAAAAAAAAAAAAAAAAAAAAAGTTATTCGCGAGGACACCCGCGATGCAATGAATAAAATAAATACATCAGCAGCGATGAAACCCGATAGGTGTAATAATCAACTCATTTAATTTCAAAGCTCCCGACGATGCGGGCAGTCATCCTTAAACCCATAGGATCGCTGCCCGAGCGTCTCCTGCAAGCTCAATGAGCTTCGCGCCACCGTATAATTCACTGGCACTCTCCGAGCGACACGTCACGCCGCGTGTATATACATAGCGGCATCGGAGCGCAGAGAAAAACCTGAGAGGAAGCAAAACGCGAAAGCCGCGGCACTCGAGCCGCCCCGACCTAAAACGCCTCCCCCCTCCAAGGAATATTATTCCGCACACGGAGCGAATTTTCTTCCCTCGCACTGTAAAAAATTTTTCCGTACAGCTGGGCACGGCCGATGTCCTCCTGTCACACGCATGTACCCCATGTAATGTACGCGCCTGAAATTTTCAAGCTCGTACGTTTCGTGACTCGAGAAACCAAAGTGCGCCCGGCCATGCAGCTGAAAGTTTTTCATGTATTTTATTACCTCCTTTGCTTCGGTACGTATAGGTAAGATCTCGTAGAGTCCCTGAATAAAATCCGAGGGCTCAAAAAGTAGTGTCAATTAACAACCCGATGACAAATCATTTTTGTTCAAAATGAGTAGATTACATTTGGAGCCAACGTGTACTCTCGGATCGGTTTGATTCTTGGCGACAAATCGCGTGTGGAAGGAGGTTTGAATCAGAAATTAATCGATTTCCTGTAGCATCGAATTAATGTGCAGCCAAGCGGCGAAATCGCGCGTCCAAAAATAAATACTCCGCAAAACCGAAGCGACGGAGGTGGTAAAACTCGAGTTCTACAAGCAGCACTTTACATTTCACACATAAAAGCGCGATAAAATCCCCGACGACAACAACAACAGCCTTTTTCAACCGGTATTCTGCGGAGCAAACGCACTCAGCTCCAAGTGCAATAAATGCGGGTGAAGGTAAGCTCTCGTCTCTTCGGGGGGCAAGTTGGTTGTCTGGCTGTCAATTTAATCGACGGTGCAACGGAGACCTACATTTACTCTTTTGTGGGACGTGAAAAGCCATCTCTTTATTTTGCCTCTCTTCTGGACTACCCTTGGCTTTATTTAACGACTGATTGCAAAGTTTTCTCTGTATGGACTTTAGTGGAGTTGTACATGCGAGCGTTGAGTATGTGTGTATTGCTATCTCAACAGAGTTGCCTGCAAAGGTGGGCGGAGAAAGTCAAACACGAAGCATCCGCATAAAACTGCATTGGGGGTAAGATGGTATGTGGATATAACTGAGAGACTTATCGTATTTGCAGAGTAAAGTTATGGCAGCAGGAAGGAACTATGCTAGTGATTTGAGTTTTTCGAGGTGGGGCCTTGTTCCTGCAAGGATGGATCCTAGATTGCATCAACTTATCTTGGGGGAGAAAACAAAAAAGAGATAATAAAATGTTGTTATATTTGGTAACAAGTTATATGATTATTGTACAATTACTTATACTTACTGTTAATTAAAATGTTTATTACTCCTATGGTGTTGTTATTTTAAAGGAGTAAAATCAAAATTCAGATAGTATATGAGAATTGTAATAAAGTATTTTGTATTTATGTTCACTCACCTTGTGTGTAATTATACAGACGAATGATTACCCTCTGAAAAAACATAAGAAATTTTCCATTAGCTTAATGTTAGCATATTCACCAGAACATTTCTAAAAACTACTCATTGAAATAATGGACAGAACTTGTAAAAAGTTGCAATATTACACCTCAGCGCTGTTGAACAAGTTTACTTATGCATCAACAGCTCAAGTTTCAAACAGTTGTGTCGTACATCATGTAGCTACTATACGTAGAACATCAACTTTATACAAGGGTATTTGCATAGGGTAAGTGATTCATTATACTTGGAGGTGCTTCCACTTTTGGATTAAACATCTAATCATCAAGTAAAGAAATAAATTTTGAAAAGTTACATTTCATTCATCCAACGAATAATAATTCAATGAAAACCACCTAATTATCTTATTATGACGAAAGAAGAATTCTAGTTTACTTATTCATTCATTCCAATGATAATAAATACAATAACAAATGTATATAAAACAAAGGGGTGTGAGCTGACTAGGTATAAACATTGTGACTGAAAATGACCCAGTGACATAGTAAACACTTTCATAGCGTACGTAGGGTAATTCACAGCTCCATTATATGGCTCTTAAGAAATTATTCATTAGCTAAAGTGTCGTACAAATTTTTTTCACACTAGAAAGTAAAAGCAACTGTGTGAGTACTTACCCTGTATGCGAAAGCGATCGTGAAAAGCAGCCGTTGTAGGGAGGAAAGAAGTTTTGTTTTTAACGTTCCATCGTACTGTTCTTTCTCCCATTTCGTCGTCCATTTGAACAGCATGATGTAGCAATTAGATAAAAAAAAACCCTGGAGGGGACACAGAAGTTGCCACTCATATTTATGTTTCAACGGCTGGCGTGTCATATAACATTTTGCTCTCTAGAGAGTCCGCGAATATAGGTTAGGTACCTATATAGAAACGAGCAGAGTAGCGCGCAGCTCTCGAGAGCCGGCAGTGCACCCGCTAAGTTTACGTCCACCGGGTATTGTGCAAACTTTTTATCCGAAACCGCGTATATATCGTTTCTCGAGCTCTCTCACTTCACGAAATATCCCGTGCCCATCCATGGGGGGCTCGTAAGCTCATGCCTCGGACTTGTGTGCATGTAAAAAGAGCAGGAAAGCAAAATAAAAAATGTCAACTCTGCCCGGATAAGTTTAACAGCACCATCCCACAGCCTACTTAAGTAAGTACTCTACCGTTTTCTTCGGCGTCCGTTTGCGTGTACTATGTGCAACTCGTCATTGTCACCGCTCATCTGCAACGAGTCATTTACACACACGATTTATATCACTCGCGACTCGCGACACGCGACTTGATTAATTAAACTACGACATTCACGAGCACCTTCCATCTTCAAACTTCACTCATTCCATCCTTTGACAGTTATGAGAAAAAAAAAATCTTCACTTGCGGAATACCAACCTAAGGACATATATAACGTATAAAATACATACCTATATATGTAGTTTATTTTTATGCCGTTGCAGTGCTGCCGTTTCGCAAATCTTGGGGGAAATTCCGTAATTCAAATTCGTCACTTATTGGTAACTTGAAATTCAAATGACATGAGTTGTATTTACAACTTATTTCAGTTACCAATAAAAGTGACGAACTTGACTTGCAGAACCAATACCCCATGTAAGTATTGTATAGTATATTTCTGTTCCGCAAACGCTACAGTCATGTACATGTACCAAAGAGAGACACTGAGTCACGCTACCTCTGACTCTCGTTCATTAAGTATAAGTGTATTGTATTTTCATTTAATTTGTAAAAAAGCCACGAAATATTGAGCACATCGATGTTAGTGCAAGGTGTGTAAGTATAATTATGTGTCTGTGGTATACGTAGACATAAAAAAAATCGTGCTTCCGAACTACTTATACCTACTTATTTCCTTCATCCCCCACACATAACGCTCGAACCGCGAGGGGGACAATATTAGAGTGCGGGAGGGAGCACTACTCCCTGTGATGGATTACTTGCGTGGAGGGAAAGAAAAAAAAAGAAAAAAAAATCTCGAAAACGTCCGTAGCGATTAATCGCGCTTATATAAATGTATGTGAGAGTGCATAGATATAGATGACGCTAAAAGACGATTGCTCGCGGAAGCGCAGCGGCAGAAGCTATCCACCATATGTGTAGGGGGTGGGGTAAGATGGACCCGCGGATAAGACGATAAGACATATAGGTATGGATGCCTATAGATACCCCGTGACCGGAAAAAGAAGCTGAGCTGCTATGTATACTTGTATAGCAGTGAGCAGTGAGTTTGCAAGGATGAATTTATAGGTGTACCTATGTATACCTACTTTATGCGCGCGTATTACAAGTGTGCGGTGTGATGGGTGGTACGGATAAAAGTGAAAAATGAAGAGCATAATTTAAAAAAAAAAAAAATTGGAAATAACGGAGACTTCACGGATAACGTAATAATGTATTTTGCGGCAGTTGTTTATCGCATCGGATACATCGGAAACGCGCATATTGCTGGACGACCGGAAGTAAAGATGGAATTTTTACGACAGGAAACAATAGTATATGCCATGCATAAGGTATTAAATATAGGTGTACAATATAATTTATCATCACCGATGATGGGGCCATTAAGAGGAGTTTCGTAATGGTATTTCGTACAACAGTACCGACTAGACAAATACAATGAAATCGATGTTTTACGATGAATTTGCTTTTATGGCAATGATGCGGTCTACAAGTACTGGTATTCACACTTTTCTTTGACAAGATGTATACTTTTGCTGCCCACGATAATACGTTAACATAAACTTATTGGGCACCTTACGATACCTGCATTATATTAATTAAAGGTTGGCTCCCGGCTTTCATGCAACTTGAAGTGGTCAATTTTTTTTTTTTTTTTTTTTTTATATACCAAGTATAGTAAAAACATGACCCCCCCGATCGTTGAACCCATTGACCGAGGCGTAATGTCGCAGTTGAAAATCGACCCAAACAATGGAGTCGCGTAAATGTGATTGACTCGTGCGTAATATATCAGCGGACGACTTTTCTCTCACGTTGATAGGTATATACTTACTTAAGTTTGTAGGGGGAAGAAGAAAATCTAGAGAAACGTCCGATGGTAGGCAAAAGGGGGAATTTGCAATTATTTGATGATCGGATAGCAAGTAAATCTATGTACACATATACCTAGTATGGTATATATACAAGAAAACCGATTTGCATGAATTACCTTTATTTGCTTCCCCACACCTGGGCGCAAGGAAATTTCGGCGTGTATTTCCATACAGAGCACCTTGGGGATGGACAAGCGAATCCAATCAAATTCACTACAGAAACACCGTATTTTTATCCACGCCTAAATCTGTTTTAGTTGAAATTCATTTTTTTTTTTTTTTTCATCAATTCCAGAAGCTTCGCAGCTTATTGTCTCGACTCCCCAACTTTCGCTCTTTGGTCCCTCCTCCGATCACACATCTGATAAAAATCCCCAAAAATATCTGTACGTAACAAAACAAAAAAAAAAAAAGAGGGGGGTATTGCAGAGTGAACTGTCACGCTCGACATACCTGTGTACACCGCTGCGACGGGAGAGTGCAGCAAGCAACAGGAAAACGCGGGGAGACGCGAGTTCGAATGCCGAAGTGATTTCAATAATGTCACCGCGCGAATCGATCGATCGGCTCGCAGTTGGCGCCGCGCGTCTTTTGCCCTTTTTTTTTTCGTCCCAACGGAGGAGAGGACGAGTCGCGGTAGGGGCGAAAAAAAAAAAAAAAAAAAAAAAGACGACGGGGTGTCAATAGCCTCGCGCGCCGCTGGAGTTAACCCACATTTCCTCGTCTATTCTTACAGCCCCATCTATCTCGATCGCGTGCACCACCCCCTTCCTTCCCGCGTGTTGATTTTTTGTCATTCCTGGCTGCTTGAGGAAGGGGGGGGGGGTGATTTTGTATCGGTCCAGTCGAAGCTCATGGAGGTCACGGTCGAGACTCGCGTGAGCAAAATATTATATACGTGGACCGGTCGTGGTGGACACATGTAGGAGAATAACAATAATGGCAGGAAAAAAACAAACGTGCACCAGCATAACATTTGTTTACACTGCGGTGTCCCAAAATGCAAGCAATTAGGCCCACGTGGGCGCAAACAACTTTTCTTTTACAGGATATGTATATACCTACCATCAGCGTATATTTGTATGTACTCACCCGGTGTTTGGGGCTTCATTTCTCTTTTGCAAAAATATAAATACAAAAAGGTATGAGGTATACAAGTATACAAGTGTGGGGTGAGAAAAGAGTTCGTGTAAAACAGAAAAACAGGGGGTTGGGGGGTTGAGCAAAATAAGTTTTCTTTTAACCGGCAACTGGTGGCCATTGTACAGCGATGCGATAATTTGACGCAACAGTTGCCGGAGCGGAGCGTTTTTGACTCCTCTCGGAAAGTGCGATTTATCAAATCTCGCGGCAAGAGGTTCAACAATGGTATAAAGTAGCTCTCGAAACTTTTCGCTCACCGGCAAACGAGATGTCGAGAGTTGGGAAGACGAGGAGATATATATATATACAGAGCTTGAAGAGTGCAGAGCCAAGTTGGTCTGATGTAACGCGAAGCGAAGGGTAACAGTGCGCTGTAGTGCTGCTTTTAGTTTTTTTTTTTTTTTTTTTTTTTTCTCGTTGGTCTCTGTACTCGTCCACTCGAGCGTTTGAAAAACAGTTTCGATTCGATGTCGCCGATGGGGTTAAAGGTTTTTGCATTCGGATAACAAGTTTATTAATTCGTTACACTTGTCACTTAAAAAAATAAAATTAAAAAAAGTGTTTTGATGCCAAAGGAATATCAAAGTAAGAAGTAAGTTACTTTGGACTATTAAGTTCGTATACGATGTAAAGACTGGGTTGAGCAAACGCCGCCAGCGGTAGAGTCACGTGATAACCATAGATTTACAGCACAAGGGCGCGGGAGACACATTATTCCGAATACCAGCAAAGTACAAAATATACTACGTCTAAATCCATGAGATAAGGAGAAGTGAAATCTGATGGCGGAAAATGAAAATTTTAATAGCAACGGGTTCTGATTTGTTGAAAATGACAATAAAAAAAAAACAATTTTCCTTCTTAATACATAAAACCGTTTCTTGTCACGCAGCGGAGTAAATTTTCCTCTCGCGATAATTTCCATATTAACCCTATATATATGTACGCGAAGGCGCAGTGCAACGATGCATGATTTTCTTTTTTTTTTTTTTTCCAATCGATTTCCCGTTTATTCCACTCACGCCCGCGACGTATATATATTTGAAAGCCGTAAATTAAATAAGTTCGAGCTGTACGAGTCCGTGCCCCGCTTGCGGAATTTTCAGTGGCTTGGAGTTTTGCCGGGAAAAATTTCCCCCCCGCAACCACGACCACCTGCGCCGGTAAACAATAATCATATAATGTCTCCCTATCGATACCGTACACAAAATTTCCAAAGCTTATAAAATCTCGGAAATATGTACCGGTGCATTGTAAATTTCACGTGTTTCAGTTTTACTACTCCGCGCTGACGGTGACGATAGCCACGGTCCTTCAGGACGAGAGCCAATATCTGGCAGGAAACCACTCGCGCCCCAAGTCCAACAGCGTCCTCGAGCCGGAAGTTTCCCCGAGTAAGTGACGGGCCCAAAGTGGCTTTTCCCCCTCCGCTCGCTCGAGGGGAGATTATTCTTTATTTTGGAAAGCAAAAAAACACTTCCTCACCCACTTTTTTGCTTGTACAATTTCAGCCACGATAAGGTTCAACATCGCGTTCCTGGTGTGCTCGGCTTGCGGCGTAATTTGCTGCCTTCTCCTGCTCTACGGACTCTTCAAGGTATAGCAAATTAACATACTTGACAAAGACGATTTTCAGGTGCCCCACTGAAAATAAAAAAAAAAAAATAAATAAAAAACGACTCGAGGTGAAATTGCACTCAAGCGTGTACACACGGAATACAAAACACCGGCAAGTGGAGTTTGCGCGTTATTCAATGCACACACCCCCACGTATATCCTCTCGATCCCAACAAACCTGCAGCGACATTAATTACAAAGTCTCGCGAGTAAGTACTTCAACATCCGCGCGCGCGCGCGCACTGCGTTGCCGTGTATAATTATATTAGCCAAACTGATTGCCTCGACATGTCGCGGTTGCGCAGGACCATATACCTACTCGTTACAAGGTGCATTTGTATATAATACAAACTGAGCTCCCGTGCCTTTATTCCTGACAAAGTTATCGGTTGATGGACACTGTACGCCTCGCACGTCCAAGGGTATTGTGGCTTGGTAAAACATAAATAGAGCAGCTGGTGAAAAGCAATTGGTATTGCGACATTTACCTACTTGATTTACTCGGACAAGCAGGTTGACTCTCTTTAAATGCCGAGCGTTCTTCTAAGTAAATATAGCCGATTAAAAAATTTTTTTTTTCTCTATTCATGCATTTTATATAATAAACAGAAAAAAAAAAAAAAAAAAAAAAACCCCCCTTGACNACTTAATATTTAAAATAAAAATAACGTTCAAAAATATATACATAAATTATTGATTATTATTTAAATGTTTTGATTTCCGTCAGCTGCATCTTACAGCACCATCAATTACAGCTGTCAACTTGAATGAAAGTTAGGATCAAGTCCTATGAAGTAACAAAAAATTTGCGTTACTTAGGGCCATAAATCGAAAGTTATCGCAGTTGAAAGAGAAACAACGTATTTTTCGGACTAAACCACAAAATCTGAGCCAAGTTCCTTAAACGTGATGTATACGCTTGAACACCCTTTCGTACAAGTAGGTATATCATGTGAAGCATCCAAACGACGTGAGGCTCTTGAGGCTCATCCTCGCGATTAACGTGCGACACGAGGGTAGCATGTACCATTCCGTTCGTCTCATGCTTGACATTTCCCAACTACCTGACTTATACCACTATACTATGTACTATATATACGCGCAATCCACGCCGTCGAGCTCCCACACACCCGTTATACATATATATCCCCGGGCCTCCAGGAGTCCTGACTCGGTATGGATTATACGCGTGTTGGCGCTCCGTAAGTGCGAGGCATATACATTTCCGCAAAAGCATGTACGCACCGCCTTATCTCACACCCATACCTGTTTATGTATATATGTGTAAAGATGGTGTGGTGTATACTTGAAGCAGCGGCGAGTGCACGGGTCTATTAAAAACTTATTGAAACGGGCCAGGTCGAATATAATCGGGTAACAATGTCGTTAAAACTAACGCCCCGCGCGCGGCCGTAAATGTAAGCGATAAAAGCGCGGCTACGGTCCCACCTTTGTACCTTCACAGATGCCGAGTATTATCGAGGGCGAGGGCATTGCGTTTACTACTACAAGTGCACTTCCATACCTGCACTGTTATTATTATTACTACTGCCGCTACCACTATTGTACCTATGTATACGTGTGTATATATATATATATATATACCCTTATCGAGATTCTATTTGCCGTGAAACGAAGTGACGATGCGCTTTGTATTTGCTCTTTTCTCTCGTGAGACGTACGTCGCGGGGGATCGATTTTTCCTTGTCTCGGAAGTAAAAGTGCAGCCCATGGTCAAACGACCGTAAACTTCGATCAACACCTTTTTGGTATATATACGTATTATGTGCGTATGAATGCGATTCATAAAACTCGGATTGTTTCAAATGTGTGTATACTTACCTACGCGTGGTTTATTACATATAGGTGTACCTGGCAAAGGAATCTTTCGTAATTTTACGTGTAGTGCGGCATGCCGTTTATCTCCTCGTGGAATTTCATCCCAGAGAAATGTATATATGTATAAACATAAAGAGTCGGTGAAATTTACACGGCTTCGAGGGTACTTTGTTATGTACATTTTTTGTTGTTAATGTTCACGTATATTTAGTATATAAAAAAAAAGTTTTTTTCATATCAACGCGTTGGGTGAAATGACGAGTGAGCGCTCGTAATGCGTATGGATACTTATATTTCACCCCGGACGAGCAACTTACGTAATTGCACCTTTTCACTTTGATTAATTAAAAAAGAAGAAAAGGTGTAACTCGATACTCGTATACACACGCTTGCGTAACGGTTAGACCTTACACCGGTGAACGAAAATTGGTTAAGGAGAGATTTCTTTCGCGATACCAAAGTAGATAAATCAATGTCCCGCCGGCATTCCCTCCTTCCCGAAAGTGGATGAGAACAGGAAGAAAAAAAAAAAAAGGCCAAAGTGCCAATCACGGACGCCGAATATCTTGCCTCCCCCCACACATATAGGGATGTTAAAATCGATCGGTTGGCACTCAGGCGTAGGGTGTGCGAAGAAAAGGAACCGGTGCGGGAAACATCCTCCACCTTCTCTCCCCTTCGCATTTGCGGATCTGATTCATACTGTTTTCCGGACTCGCCCCCACTCCCCAAAATTCAGAGGCTTGTGAATACATATCGATTGCGTGTTGTTATTCATCCGCGGCCGGGTTATTTGTCTTCCCCTTGTATCTACGCGCTCGGCAAACAAGCAAGGGCTATTTGTCCCTTTCAATCGGCCCGAGTGTCGAGATCTCGAACAAATAATCGAGCCATACTTTTCCCATGGCCTTTTTTCGATAACGCGTTCCCAATGACGCCAAACGATCGTGTATAATATATATGTGTATCCTCGATAGCGCCGTTGGGAAATGCAAATGACGCGGCGAAAATCACCGGCAAATTGTACGTATACGTACATCGTCGGGGCGATCGTGCCTTGTGTATATATGCTTATACTTTGCGGTGCGGAAAGTCCCGCGCGCTAGCTCGGTAGTTAATTACCGCTCAATTATACGTACGCGGTGCCGTATCGCGTATATTGTAGACATTTTCGATGCAACGCCCATTGTCCGGTCGGTTGATAACTGCGACGTTGCGCTCAAGTAGATTACAAAAGTGGGTGTGTGATTGGGTGTGAAAAAAAAAAAAAAAAAAAACGGGGTTTGAGTGGGTCGATCTCGTGTGATTTTGAGGTTTCGGTTCGACAAGTTACCGGTGACGTGCTTCAAAGGATACGTTTTTACCGAAAAATTAAACACGTTGACAAACAAGTAATTTCGTTTTTTTTTTTTTTTACTTTCTAGTAATACGTATGGGTGTAAAGTACTCTAAAAAAAAAAAGGTGTAAGAAAATACAGCCACGATGGTACAGAGGGAAGGGGATCCATCAGTTTTCCGCGCAGATACTATACCCGGGGAAATTTGATATTTCTCGAGATGAGCACTTCGTCTTCCTTTTACTCACCTGATAGCGAATTCCCGACGCTTCTTTGGATTCTCGATATAAAACGGGGAAGAAAAATTGCCTGTGGTGTTATCGCACGCGCGCGCGCACTGTGCGGTAGTTGGATCGAAAAATAGGCGAGCCGGAAACATTTCCCCCCCCCCCCCCGAAAATTCGGACGCTCTCTAACGTTGATTAAAAAATTGTTGAAATGTTTTGCATGTACGGTCGGTAGTTTGTGTTGTTTTGAATTTCTTTTTCCATTTCGCGTCGGACACGTTTTTTTGCGCCGAGTTGACGAAAAACCCCCGCAGAAGAGTGGACTCGGATTATTCGTCAGGGGAGATTGGCTTTTTTTTTTTTTTTATGTTTTCGCAACAAAGTATCGATTCAAAGTGTACATCTGTACGTGTTTCGAAATAAATTTTGTTTTGAAGAGAAAAAAAAATTTTTCTCATTCAAGCTCCTTAATTGTATTTCAAATTAACTTTCTTTTTTTGTCGAAAAAAAGTTATTCGTCACCTAGTTAAATTAAGCAGGAAAATTGGATTTTAATGTTATGATGAATTTTTTCTTACATTACACATTCATGAATGAGTTAATATTAAAAATGGTAGCATCGAAAATTTAATTTTTTTTTTAACTTTAAGTTAAATTGTATATAATTATATACTCGTTCATCGATATTTTAAATAAATTAAACCTCAATAGCCCGTGAAAAGTTGAAAGCTTTTGAAAATAATTTTAAGCGAATTGTTTGGTAAACAACCGTATTAAGAAGCAGCCTTTGATAGTTTTATATCAATAATCGCGCAGGTCTCGACTTTGTGCTTGATCGACCAAACTGAAAATTCACTTTTCACAAAAATTAATTATTCATTTAATCCAGACGAAGGGTAAATATATTTTCAATACTAGGGATTAAATGAAAATCAATTGTAGTGGATTTTTTTTTTGCTTTGTTATTACAATTGTTTGCTTATGTTTATTCAAAATTATCAAATTCAAGTGATAACATTCGAAATGCAAAAACAAATAATGTTTTGTTCATACAAAGTTGTTGGGTGTGCAATAATTAATGTTTGCTCTGCAATAACTGATATTGGAGATGTTATTTCCAAATTTTACTCGTGATAATCATGGTATTCAGTGCACGAATTACTGACAGGGGAATTCCAATTAAAAGTTCCAAGGCTTTATATACGGACTCGCATTACCGCTGAGCAAAGCATCGGTAATATTAATAGCACGGTGGATCGCCTGCATTGTCAAATTTTGATGTTTCGTTGATCTCTGGATGTCTCGTTCATAGAATTGTTGGATAATATCGTAAACAATAAGAAATCGTGTTCAATTAATTATAATCGAATTTCACTCAAGCCATTTCTTACAAGGAAGAGTGGAAAATCAACTTTTGATAAATTAGTTTACGGAAAAACATTTTCTGCTCAACGTCCAATATGATTTGTGATGAAACTCACTCATAATTCTGCTCTACGGAGTTTGGCGAATTGTTACCGTCTCAACTGCCTAGTCATCCTTTTTTTTTTTTTTTTTTTTTTTTCATCAATGGAATGTGTATTATTTTTTCAGTTATTTATTCAAAATTTTAAAAGCTCGTTTCGCACTTTTCCAAACACACGACACATTTTGTAGACAAATATATGTTTTTAAAAATAATTTTACTGCCGTATCCATGCAAAATACTAGTGATTTGAAATATTTTCAAGGGAAAAATGCAACTCACTACCATAAAAATTCCATGAATTCCTGCAGCCTTTCAACAGACAATTTACTCGTATACACAAAAATCAAACAAAAAACCACGAAAAAATTCTACTCGTTCGTCGTATGCACAAAGAACAAAAAAATAAACAAACGAAACAAACATACACGGAAAATCCGATTCTCCGGAAAGCTCTCAGCCAACCAGGAGATATACTTATTTGCAAAAATTTGGTAAATTACCACCGATGCGCTGGTAAACCCGCAATGCTCTACTCGCAATTATCCCCCATACGGGATTCTCATGCAAATCCACCGGAAACTTCCCCTTTCGTGTCTTTCGTGTATTTTATACTGCAGCGCGAACCAAAATTACATTATCTCTTGCATGATTATTCGTAGGCAACTCGCGTATATTTTTACACGAAAAAGTAATTTTTGTTAATAAAAAAAAAAAAAAAAAGGAAAAAAAAGCTGTAGGATAAAAACACGTTCTGGTCGAAAATAGAGCACATAGGGATGATTCGAGCAGAATCACAGCCACGGCCGTTACAAGTTCAACGACGCCTGAGCGAGAATTTGGCGGAAAGATTTTATCGGCCGAGATTACGCGCGGCGAATCGCCGTACATAAGTCTCCCCGAGCTTTGGGTTCGCGTGATCCTTTGTGCTGTTAAATTCACTGCAAATTTATGGTCCTTGGATTAACGTTATTTTTTTTTTTTTTCCTTTTTCGCTATTTACGTGGCTCCAGGGTTTTATCGGGAAAATATATATGAAATTTTTAGTCACGTGTGTATCCATATACGTACACGAGGTGAATCCTCAAAGTTTGAATCAGTTTTCGAGTAAATCGATCGAGATAATTTCGATCGAGAATCCCGGCATCTGTAAATTCCGAGTAATTCTCGGTAAACCCGATGCTTGTATATTTTTTAGACAATCGAAAAAAAATGGCAAACGAGACCACCAAAATCGAGATTTTATTTTTATATTACCACTAACTCTGATATTTAACGCACTCAACCTTTCCATATCTCGCGGCAAGCTCGAGTTTTCCCGAGAAACCACAATTTGATCTAAAGCTATGTGCGGTAAAAACTCATGGTTTGTCACTTGCCTCGGACCCACAATTAACAAACATATAATTTGGTTACAGGACGAAAAAGTGTACCTGCTGCCGTGGATAGTCGCGGTGATCTTGTGCATCGCAGTCGACATCTCGCACTTGGTGTACCTCTTTTTCTTCGTCACGGTGAGTCGAGCCAGCTTCCACACTTACTTATAAGTCACCCCCTTTCTCGCCCAAAGTGACCCTTGACTCGTGCATCGCTTGGCAGGCTCGACCCGCTCATTTGCATACAGAGACGCGGGAGCTTGCTAATTTCGAGCCGAAGGCTATAGTTGCCCGGTGAACGAGAAATTTTCGAGCGGACTGTTAAACAGCACCTGTTTTTATTCATCATTATTATCAATCCTGTTTGCATTTCAGAGAAGGGGCCTTTGAAATCAAGTATATACACGCGAAATCAGAAAGTTCAAAACAACGTTCGACAATATTAGCTCGCGCGAGAGAAATTTTTTTTTCCACGAATACAATCAAGTATAAGCGCGTACGAGAGGGTAACAAAAAAAATAGAGAGAAAGAAAAAAAATCAAGTCCGGAATGAATAATTAATGCGAGCCCGCGGGACGGGATTTCTTTGAAAGTTTAGCCTTGCCCCGTCGCCGCGGCAATAACTCGCCCGATGGACACCGGCAACTTTTCTTCTTCTTCTTAAAGCGATTAGGCCGTGACGCAGATGGGAAAAGGAAATATGGTGGGGTCGTCTTTGTTTAAGATATATATATATATATGAACAAAAACCAAGAAAAAAAACGANTATTATTTTTTTTATATTATAGTGCTTTACGTCCGGCTCCTATAAAGGAGCACTACTATGGGCACTTAGCACTTGGGAGAAGGAAGGGAAGAGGGATGGGAGGCGTCACAATACTGGGAGGGGGGGTAGGGGGAAATTAGGCAATTTTGCTGCGAGAAGGTCGCCTAAACCCTCCTCGAGGAGCATTGCGTGGTGAAAAAGCACATGTGAATTATCACGGAGGTACTTGCCCGAAAAAGTCGTACTATGGCCGGGAACTGAACCACGGTCTCCCGCGTCTCAATCCACGACCTAGCCGACTGAGCCACCGCGCGCTCAAGATATATATATATATATGAACAAAAACCAAGAAAAAAAACGAAATCAAGCGAAGCGTCCTTTCTGATAATACCGCGCGGAAGCGCGAGCACGTGCTTAAGGGATAACTTTAGATGTACTCGAGGACCAAGTGGGAGAGTAAGTACAGGGTTGTCCGACGACAAGTACGTATATACGCGCAACAGCAGTTTGTACGGACATAGTATGTACCTATGTGTGCGGACGTCCTCTTTTGCAAGTAGTACAAATATATGTTTGGTCGGACAAAGTTTAACGTTGCCCCGTATGTAATATTTCCTTTAAGGATCGGCAGTGAAACTTGGGGTTGGATGAAATTTCCCCTTTTTTCTCAATCGTCGGCCAAACGATTACTATTACGTGTACATTATCGATCGATTGAGTTTTCTATCGAAGGGAATTTTTTATATTCATATCAAAATAAATCTTTCAAGCTTGAGGTAATGATATATGATAGAACTAGTATTTTCTTTCACAGCCGAGGATCGTTTGATATAATTATGTATATGTACATACAACTAGTAGGTATACGGTATACAATGTAAATATACACATAGATATAGTCACCCTCAAGCAGCCGTGTTATCAGAGCAAACACGTAGGTGTATACGTAGCGATCGCTCCTCGTCAAAGAGCAAATTCCACGACCCATTCGTTATTGAGATTCGATGGATCGATCGGTAAGTGCGTATTTATTACAACGCTCCCGTATACGCAGCAACGTCAACAGGATTATAACAATTTCGATGCTGGATTGCGATGCGCGAGTGCTATTGGCAATCGAATGAAAGAATGTAAGCGGTTTAACGTCCATGAATACGTTCGTATGGTATTTACAGGTACATTTGTGCGTTATCTGACGATAAAAATTAAACAAAGTCACTTGGCGCGTGATATTTTTGTAAAAGCTATACACGCACCGATACCAATCGGGTTAAATTTTTCGTTACAAGAAGAGGAGGTATATTTTCCAATCGCGTAAAACTGAATGTAGGTACGTGGAGCAATTCGAAAGGCTATTGAATTTTTTCAAGAAAAAAAAAAAAAAAAAAAAAAAAAAAAAGGCAGGTGTTTCCATTTCATCGGCCAGTGGGAGAAAGAGCCGACGCGCGTGTAAAATCTTTCAATTTTCTTTGTCGATAAAAACTCAATAGATCAACGCTTCGCGTTCCTCCATTTTCCTCGTCCCGACAACACTCGGAGTACTGATTCACGCCCGGCCATCCGAATCGTATCGGAAATTCAATCTAGCACTCGTAAGGGCACTAACTTATTTTTTTGCCCATCGATTCCAATTTACGAATCAGAGCTTCAATTAGCGTCGCTTTCTTGGTACCATTACAATTCCATCTTGCAAAAGTATAGCAACGAGGAAAGAGCAGTCTCGATCTTAAAAAAAGAGGAAAAAAGCGTAAACAATATAGCCGGAGCGTTATCCTCGTTATCGCGCTCCGCTGCCCAGGTGCAGCAGCCTCGACGGATGAAAAAAAAAAAAAAAAATTCTCTGCGCTATACGTTGCTTTATGTTTTTCCAGGTTTATCGTACGGATGACGGGTGCCATCGCAGGCTTTCCGCATTGAGTTTTCGTTCGTCCCTTTTGCGCGTTTTCCTTTGTTTTAAAATTCACCCTGTCAAAATGCGTTGCACATACGAGGTCGAGCTTCGAGGGCCTTTGTGCGCAGCGTCGATTGTATTTACAGCAAAGCTTTGCCAGCTGATACAGCCGCGCGGGTGGAGTGATTTTTTGTTTTTGAATTTTCATATTGAAAAATCAAAACTGTGAAACGCTGTTAATCCAAGTGTGGTAAATTTGGATGGAATTTTTATTATTAGTACTCCAAAGTGCACATCGATGTATTAGTTTTTTTTCCCCAAAAAAAATGTATAAAAAGAGGCTATCGAGTGTCTATTAGTGTACTGCTTTGGCTGTTTTATGTGGCGCAAAAAAAAAAAAAAAAAAAAAAAAAAAAAAAAAAAAAAAAAATAGATAACAGCATCGTCTTCGGAAATCGAAATTGGCAAGCAATCGCAGTCCGTATAATTGGCCCCGTACGCCCACGCCCGACCCTCCCTGTCCCAGGTAAAACCCACTAAGCACGCTAAACACGGAGACGTCGGGATTTCTGTTGCAGCTCGCCCTGAATCCGATTAGAGCGATGCTCCTAACGTTTGACTTTTTCCTCCAGTGCTTGAACGTAAGTAATCGACGCCGAGAGCTACAAAATATAGTTACCACGGAACTAATTCCGTATCCTGTCCTACATACACCCTTTTTTTTCCCCCTCCCCGCCTCGAAAGTCCTCATCTGTGTCAAGTGTGCATGTATATATACCTTCGCCTTGGCAACCAACTTCCCTGTGTACAGTTCACATGCACGGTACTGCTGTACACTTGCTCTTCCTCCTATTTCATTTCCGATTGCTTACACCCCGTGAACTCTGCCTCCTGTGTATATATATATATATACGTTTATCGGAAATGGAAAACAAAATTTTTAGATCAAGGGCAATGATTGCTTCCAAGTGATGTGTACAAGTCAAAGTGATGAAATTCTTATTTCAATTTCCACAGGCATACTCGGTGCTGTGCGTCGTCTCGCAATATCAAGAATACGCCGCGGGCCGCGGAACAGCGTCCGACGATTGCCAAGCTAGGGTCAGTATGCACATTACACATGTATTTTCCCCTCATTGTATATTAATATGCACGTATTCAATGCACTTTTCATACTTAATATACACGCTTTTCTCTCGATGTGTCGTCGAAATATTACCCAATATATATTATATGTGAAAAGGAAGAAAAAAAAAAAAAAAAAATCAAATATCCCGCAAGTATTGCGCTAGTCTCCCGTGAGCAGGAGCGATCGCACTTTTATGAATTTCCACGTTATAAACGCGAGTAAACATATATAACATCCAACAGTATGTGCTATACCTATAAAATATCGTGTACAATATACCCATTCAAAGTTCACACGTGAAAAATCTCATCTCTGCGATCCTTTAGCTCTTAATACCTCCCACGTGAAACTTTTGCGCTCTTGTCTCCGTACCATAAGTACACGTGCAGTATAGTGCACCTCCTCAATTTAGTTTATCAACTTTCTTCTCCTCCCATCGACTGTACCCGCATAAATTCGTTTCCTTTAAGCTCTGAAATTTAAAAAAAAAAAAAAAACCCCGCAACGTCCCGATTTTCATCGTGTAGGTGTGTGTAATATATCGACGAGTCGGCGACGGCATCGAAATTGGATCGGCCGGAATCGAGTTTCCATTTGCTCGCCGGCATGTATACACGCACGTGTTATTGGCCAGGTGCATGTCATGCAGCGCCACCCTTGGTGTCAAAATCATGCAACCGCGGGCACCCGATACACACTTTTAGTAATAATTAATTGACTAGCAAAAAATTAGTGTATTTATTCATCTGATAATGGATGTCATCATAAAAACAGGCTTTAGGAATATCACACGCTCGATTTGTTTTAACTCTGAAGCTTTAAAAAGAGGTAAACAGTTGGTTAAAAGTAGTCATGTGTGCGATGTTACAGAATTTCATAGTGATGGAGTTAGCAATTTGACAAGTGCCATCGTGATAAGGCAGACCTCGGTAACTTCAGCTCCGTACAAAGTTAACCTGCATGTACGTTTTATTTAGATTATTTTGAAAATTGTCCAAGTTGCAATGCACATGAATATTACTTTTATTTACAGTTGGATAATCATTGAAATTTATGTAATTTCACTCCATTTGTATTTGCCCTACTGTTACACTGAACGACACAGCACTTTCTTACACCCACATTTCATAAACGTTTAAATAATAGAAATCACAATTGATCATGTCTTATTTCGCGTATTTATCTTTCTTTTTGCCGTTTGCTTCTGAGAGTGTGCTCTGGATCGAAAACTAACGAGGCTTCATTTTACAACCGTTCTTGGCACCACATAGTTCATTTTTTTACATTAGTGTAACTGCAATTTCATAATGTTGATACTATTTATGCATACGTGATGATAAAATCTGTAAATTTGACGAAATGCTGTTATTCTTTCCTTAATTAAGCAAAAATGACAGTCATTTGGTACCCCAGGTTTCCTGTTTTCGCCACTACGCACGCTGGCGTCGACTCATCTATCCCCTCCCATCACTTCCACCTGGCCAATAAGCTCGTTGGAACAAATTGACCTGACCACCGCCGCGCGTTATCGGCGGCCCAACTTTTCTAAGCCGAGCGATCGAGGAAAAAAAAGAAAAAAAGAAGTTTCCTCAACTCCATAACGTAATGTATATACACTCGCGCTAACGAGGCCAGACGCTGTATTTATATACGCGATAAGCTTGATACAATATCACACTTTCCCCCCCTACTCGATAAACGCGAGTCCGACAGTTGGACGGGAGTCCGAAAAGTCCCTAAATCCCTTCGCGCCTCCGTTCAATTACAAGAGGATGCCCGTTCGTTAAACTTTCCCCGAATTGACGCACGCGACGCGCGTGGGGGATAAAAAGAGGCGGGAGACCCGCATCATCCCCCCCGATGAAAAGCAAACGGTTATACCTCGAGATTTTTTTTATCACCGGTGGCGCTGCTCTTGATGGTTATACACCAATAAGGATCGGCTGACTTTTCGGTGCGGGGGTTGTCTCACGCGCATGGAGCCGTTATACGAAGTTTCTTGACTTACTAGCGATTGCGTCACGTCGCCGTTGTAGTTCATATTGGACGCCGGGGGTTAATTGACACGGGACACGGCACTGATCCTCCGCACGGGACCTGCGTATACGCGTGGAGGCGTCGCTGAGGAAATGTCGATGCTCATACCGAGGTGGGAGCTTTGCAAATCGTATCGAATTAATTCAAGCTCCGCTGCTCGTATAGTCCTTTATATATATATATATTTTGATGCTCATATGTGTCGGGTGGTTTTTAATTGTATCCTGCGCCCTGGAAAACGAAGGAGCTAAATCTGGGAAAACAAGAGAGACGGCCACGGAGCGAAAGCTTAATTTACTGCCTACCCCCTTCCCACGCACTGCAAGCCGCCGCTGCTACTTTTGCTCTCCCACTTTTTATGTGTATATTGCACCTGTTTTTCTTTCCTGCAAGCACGCAATTTTCTCGTTTTTACCTCTGAGCCTTTTTATCTGATATTCGAACGCGTACATATATTGCAATGTGCACCGTGTGACATTTAACTTGCAAATTTTGCCCCGAACGCCCCTACAAACGAAAGCTCGTTAATCAAGCTTGGCCGATGTACAGCTAGTTTTTTTTTTTTTTTTTTTTTTTTTTTTTTTTTTTTTTTTTTTTTTTTTTTTTTTTT